GAGGCAGGAAGATTACTTGAACCTTGAGCCCAGGAGGTTGAGGCTGCAGAGAACAATGTTAGTGCCACTACTTTGGGAGGCCAAGGCAGGCAGATCACCTGAGGTCAGGAGTTTGAGAACAGCCTGATCAATATGGTGAAACCCTGTCTCTACTAAAAATACAAAAATTAACTGGGCACAGTGGCAGGTGACTGTAGTCCCAGCTACTCAGAAGGCTGAAGCAGGAGAATCTCTTGAACCAGGAAGGCAGAGGTTGCAGTGAGCCAAGATAGCACCACTGTACTCCAGCCCAGGTGATAGAACAAGACTCTGTCTCAAAAAAAAAAAAAAAAGGTGCCGGGCACAGTGGCTCACGCCTATAATCCCAGCACTTTGGGAGGCTGAGGCAGGTGGATCACGAGGTCAAGAGATGGAGACCATCCTGGTCAACAAGGTAAAACCCCGTCTCTACTAAAAATACAAAAATTAGCTGGGCATGGTGGTGCGCGCCTGTAGTCCCAGCTACTCAGGAGGCTGAGGCAGGAGAATTGCTTGAACCCAGGAGGTGGAGGTGCAGTGAGCCGAGATCGTGCCATTGTACTCCAGTCTGGGTAACAACGGCGAAACTCCGTATCAAAAAAAGAAAAAAAAAAAGGTATAAACACTAAAATGTGGACAATGATTATCTCTAAGTGACAGAATTTTTGTGTTTTCTATTTTTAATAATATGTATATTTTCAATCCAAATTATTGCTTTACAGAACACTGTATATATGCTTGCATTTTATTCCACCAAGTAAATGATATGAAGGTCATTTTTAACTTTGACAAGAATAGTATGGTGGGGTGATGAGTCTGAAATTTTGTTTAAATGTGTTCATATACCTGTGATTGACTTCGAAATAAGCTGGTAGAGGCTAATTGATGGGTGTTGGAGTATTCATTTTACAATTGTCTCTCTCTTTTTTGTTTTTAGGTTGTTTAAATCTTTCTATATTAAACAATAAAAAATTGAGCGGGCTCAAGAAAAAAATAAGAGGGGTAAAATTGGAGACAAATGATAAAAACGTATAGGCAACTCTTTAAAAAGATTAATTAATTTTTTTTTAAGGAGAGAAATGGTATGATAGCTGAAGACTACCCAGAGAGAATTTGATTTTTAAGGTGGGAGAAAGTACAGCATTTGCAAATGATCCAGGAAAGAATTTAAAGAAAAATGCAGAAGTGATTGGGGGACAATTGTTGGAGGGATGAGTTTACATGGATAAGTGGGAAGAGAATTTATTGTAGAGGTAGAATGGCAACGAAGAAGAGGGGAGAGGTCCAGGCCAATATAACAGAGACTTTAAATCCCTCTCTAGAGAAACTAGATTTACTCAGCAGATTACTGGAAAGCTTCAAAGAATTTTAAGCAGACGAGTGGCATGGTAGATTTGTGTTTTGGTTGAACGACAGCATATTCAAAATGGGATTTAAGTTAGACTGTGAATTTCCATCTATTATTTATTTATTTGTTTGTTTGTTTATTAGAAATGTGATTTCAGTATGTTGCCCAGGTTGACCTCAATCTGCTGGGTTCAAGCAATCCTTTCATCTGGCCCTCCTGAGTGGCCAGTACCACAGGTGTGCACCTCTGCAACTGGCCTGGTATTTGTTTATTGTACCAAAACTTTCAGTATTCAAGTGAATTATCTTGAATGGCATTTTACATCTCTTTTGGAAATCCTTTGAGTGTCAAAAAATAAAATTTGTCTCAGAAAAGAATACCAACATTCATGATGTCACTACATAACAGCCAATATTAGAAAATGTAATCTTTGGCCAGGTTTGGTGGCTCACGCCTGTAATCCCAGCACTTTGGGAGGCCAAGGCAGGAGGATCACTTGAGAGCCAGGAGTCAGAGACCAGCCTGGGCAACATGGTGAAACCCTGTCTTTAAAAAAGAAAGTGCAATCTTCTCTTCTTTGTAATTCAATGTATAAAAACTGGTATCTCATCACTGTTTTAAGTTGCTTTATTTTAACATCCAATGAGGGTAAACACTTTCATATGTGTATTCATTTTCAGTATTTCTTTATCACTGGACTGTCAGTAAACTTGATTTCTAAGTTTCTAAGGGGAAGTTGTCGTACAATGTGTGCTAGTAACTGACGAAGTCTCCATTAAGTCTAAGAAGAAACTGTATCTGGCTGTTTCCATTATCAGCCCAGAACTCCCTTCTCAAAAGAACTTTAAGCTTTTAAATCCATGTGAAATATATAGTTTTAACTTTCTAGGCATTGAGTGTAAGAAGCTGGAGACACAGTAACCACAAAGAACCACGTCCATTGTAGACAACACAGTCACATCCGTGTCAAGGCTGTTCTTTGCTGTCTCTTTACAAATTACTTCAATGCATACCTTCTGTTGGTATGCTGCAGAAAGCTTTTTATGTCTGACAGACAGATGCAAACATCACTTGTAAGCTTTAATTCATCAGGGAAAGCAATACACAGACGTTACACATAGTATTAATGAAGAAGAGAAAGTGAAAATAAATCAAAGGCCAGGCGCGGTTGCTCATACCTGTAATCCTAGCACTTTGGGATGCCAAAGCAGGCAGATCACGAGGTCAAGAAATCGAGACCATCTTGGCTAACACAGTGAAACCCTGTCACTTACTAAAAATACAAAAAATTAGCTGGACATGGTGGCAGGCGCCTGTAGGCCCAGCTACGTGGGAAGCTGAGGCAAGAGAATCACTTGAACCTGGGAGGCAGAGGTTGCAGTGAGCCAAGATCATGCCACTGCACTCCAGCCTGGGTGACAGAGCAACTCTGTCTCAAAACAACAACAACAACAACAAAAATAAGTAAAAATAAATCTAGACTAATTTTGGGTTACTTGCAATTTAGGGATAAACCTTTGGATTACTCCACAAAGCTATTGAAATCACTGGTTCCTATTAAACAACTCTTAATTTTCCTATCTAAATGTCTCTTAAGCATTGGGAGTGAGAGGGAAGTATAGTATGGTATTCATTGCTGTAATTCAGGGATGAGTAAACTTTTTCGGTAAAGGGCTAGAATATATATATATATGTAAAATTTTTTTAAGACAGAGACTCACTTTGTCACCCAGGCTGGAGTGGGAGTACAGGGACAAGATCTCGGCTCACTGCAACCTCTACCTCTTGTGTTCAAGTGATTCTCCCACCTCAACCTCCTGAGTAGCTGGGACCACAGTCACGTGCCACCACACCCAGCTAACTTTTGCATTACTTTTTTTTGAGACGAAGTCTTACTCTGTTGCCCAGGCTGGAGTACATTGGTGCGATCTCGGCTCACTGCAACCTCCACCTCCCGGGTTCGAGGGATGCTTCTGCCTCAGCCTCCCGAGTAGCTGGAACGACAGGTGCCTGCCACCACGCCTGGCCAATTCTTGTATTCTTAGTAGAGACAGTGTTTTGCCATGTTGGCCAGGCTGGTCTCGAATTCCTGGCCTCAAACAATCAGCCCGCCTTAGCCTCCCAAAGTGCACTGATTACAGGTGTGAGCCAGTGCACCACCATGATAAATATTTTAAGCTTTGAGTGCCATATAATTTATTCTGCACCTATTTCACTTTGCTGGTGTACTCAGAAGGCAGCCATAGGCAATACTTAAACAGATGCACATGGCTGTGTTCTCCACCTACTCCCGAAAATGGGCCGCAGGCCGCTCCCACAATGCACTGGGCGCGGCCGGGCTCCCTTAAGCGTCGCCTGAATAAAAATATCGGTGGCTATCGGTGGATAAAACTGTAACAATGGATGCTAAAATTTGCATTTCATATTGCTTTCACATGTCAGAAAATATTATTCTTCTTTTCATTTTTAACTATCCAAAAACATAAAAATCATTGTTAGCTCATGATTGTAGAAAAATAAGTATCAGGCCGGATCTGGCCTGTCGTCTGTGGTTTGCCCACTGCTGCTGCCACAGATTAATCAAGTGTTTGTTTTTGAAATGAATCAGCATTTCTGAAGCACTTCCAAGGAAAACAACTTACCTTATTTCCCAAATGAAGATATTGTCATAAATACTCCATAGATGACAAGTTGCAAAGAGCAGATGACCATGTGAACCTGAGAGTTAAAGGCTGGATTAAATTCAGATGCAAACAATTGACAATTCACAAAAACCCATGTATTAACAACAACAAAAAGCTTGCCACATATTCAAATGCTTGGCCACAAGGTGACTGTTAATGGATGAAGCCATGGAAGGGAGTTCACAGCTGTGATAAGAGCTGCAACTGTATGATATGAGGTCAAATCACTTAAACTTTCTTGACTTTTAGTTACCTCATCTATGAAATAAGGCCATGAGATTAGATTATACCTAAACTTCCTTCCAGCTGTGAGTTTCCATCACGTCTATTGAGTTACAGCATAAAATAATTCATCTTGCCTATATCTTAGAATTTATGAGCCCTGAATATCCAGACCGTTACTAAACCATGCTTGTCTTTGTTCACCATTGAATCCAACCACAGAATCCATCCAAATGCCATAGTAAAAACATAATAAATGGGTTGAATAAATTTTAAAAATACAAATTTCCTCACTTTATAAGACAGTGTATAAAAAGTTATTGAAATAAGGTGCTCTTTTTTTGAGACAGAGTCTTGCTTTGTAACCCAGGCTGGAGTGCAGTGGCACCATTTCGGCTCACTGCAACCTCCGCCTCTGGGATTCAAGTGATTCTCCTGCCTCAGCCTCCAGAGTAGCTGGGATTACAGGCACCCATGACCACACCCAGCTAATTTTTTGTGTTATTAGTAAAGACGGGGTTTCACCATTTTAGCAAGGATGGTCTCGATCTCCTGGCCTTGTGATCCACCCTCCTCGGCCTTCCAAAGTGGTGGGAGTACAGGCATGAGCCACCGCACCTGGCCTGAAATAAGTCAATATATTTATTCATTTAACAAATATTTTCTGAACAACAACTGTCAGGCACGGAAACTGGACAGACATCAAGATTAATAAGACACCCCCGCGCGCCCAGCCGGCGGGAGCGCGGAGGCCCGGTTCCTGCAGGGCCGCGCCGAGCCAGCCGAGCCCCCCGTGGCGTCCAGGCGCGGGCCCAGGCCCCAACCGTCGCCGCGCGGCATTTTTATTCAGGCGACGCTTAAGGGAGCCCGGCCGCGCCCGGTGCATTGTGGGAGCGGCCCGCGGCCCGTTTTCGGGAGGAGGCGGAGGGCGCTAAGCAAGCCGGTGGATCCGTAAAGAACCCAGCCAACCGCAGAGGTAGGGCAGGGGCTGAGCTGTGAGGAGAGCGGGCCCCAGAACCATGTCTACTCGGGAGTCCTTTAACCCAGAAAGTTACGAATTGAACAAGAGCTTCCGGCTAACCAGATTCACTGAACTGAAGGGCACAGGCTGCAAAGTGCCCCAAGATGTCCTGCAGAAATTGCTGGAATCTTTACAGGAGAACCACTTCCAAGAAGATGAGCAGTTTCTGGGAGCCGTTATGCCAAGGCTTGGCGTTGGAATGGATACTTGTGTCATTCCTTTGAGGCATGGTGGACTTTGCTTGGTTCAAACCACAGATTACATTTACCCGATCGTAGACGACCCTTACATGATGGGCAGGATAGCATGTGCCAATGTCCTCAGTGACCTCTACGCAATGGGGGTCACGGAATGTGACAATATGCTGATGCTCCTTGGAATCAGTAATAAAATGACCAACAGGGAAAGGGATAAAGTGATGCCCCTGATTATCCAAGGTTTTAAAGATGCAGCTGAGGAAGCAGGAACATCTGTAACGGGCGGCCAAACAGTACTAAACCCCTGGATTGTGCTGGGAGGAGTAGCTACCACTGTCTGCCAGCCCAATGAATTTATCATGCCAGACAATGCAGTGCCAGGGGACGTCCTGGTGTTGACGAAACCCCTGGGGACACAGGTGGCAGTGGCTGTGCACCAGTGGCTGGATATTCCTGAGAAATGGAATAAGATTAAGCTAGTTGTCACCCAAGAAGATGAAGAGCTGGCCTACCAGGAGGCGATGATGAACATGGCGAGGCTCAACAGAACAGCTGCAGGACTCATGCACACATTCAACGCCCATGCGGCCACTGACATCACGGGCTTCGGGATTTTGGGCCATGCGCAGAACCTGGCCAAGCAACAGAGAAACGAGGTGTCGTTCGTCATTCACAACCTCCCGGTGCTGGCCAAGATGGCTGCGGTGAGCAAGGCCTGTGGAAACATGTTCGGCCTCATGCACGGGACCTGCCCGGAGACCTCAGGCGGCCTTCTGATCTGTTTACCACGTGAGCAAGCAGCTCGGTTCTGTGCAGAGATAAAGTCTCCCAAATATGGTGAAAGCCACCAAGCATGGATTATTGGGATTGTAGAGAAGGGCAACCGCACAGCCAGAATCATAGACAAACCCCGGATCATCGAGGTCGCACCGCAAGTGGCCACTCAAAATGTGAATCCCACACCAGGGGCCACCTCTTAATCTAGACAGAAAAAGCTATTTGGTTTTGTTTTTAAATAGCTCTGTTTCCTTTATCATCACTTCAATTAAAGACTATAAACAACAAAAATCTCATTGTGTCTACACATCTGGTGACCTTAGGTTGGTTTGTAAGTGGATTCAATTAATAAAATAAAATCCATTGCCTTTTCTTCCTGTTACATTAACTAAAGATGCACCTAATCTTGAGGCAGCTTCTGAGTTGAGAATTATATTGTTATCCAATACTGTTGATTCATTTTGAATCTTTAGACACTTATCTCTTACCGCATAGGCTCTTTTAAAAGGTGCTTTTACATAGCACAGACATTACCAATAGTCGTGTCAGATAGCAGTTGGTGTCTTTTCATTTTGTGTATATTTATCATATAAGTCTGATTTTTTTTTAAGTGTCTTGAATGGTTTTCTGGAGAGACGGCATTGGTAAGGGGCACGTGGCACATGACGATATCCCAGTCGTAAGAGGGTTGCATGATTCCGTTGAGTCTTTGGTTTGGAAAGCCTAGTCTTGTCTCTCAAGAGCATCTTGGATCCAGGACATTCTCCAGTAGTGCATTCAGTTCAAAACGGCAGGTGCTTCACTGCATGGAAAACACGTTGAAGACAAAAAAGAAGTCTTGTTTCTTTTTTTGTAGCCTTCCTGATATTTACAGTAATACCATTAACTGTTTTCTTTATGGATAGCAAAAAAGGATATTTTTTGTAATGTAATTAGATGTTCTATAGTGCTACAAGGAACTGCCTTCCAAAAGGAGGTTCATGTATGATACTCATTTACAATTCAATATATAATTAACTACTCAAATAATTTTTAAATATGATCAATAATAAAGACTGTTCTGTGGATGGTAGTGTTTAATACATTTTATATTTTGTATAGTGATTTCAGGCCTTTTGTTTTCTTAAAATCAGCAGCTACGTAGCCTAATTCTGAGCATTATTTTGTCAGTTGCTCCAGTCCTTTTTTGTGCACGCTTTTTGTGATCTGTGTTAAAAACCTGCATTGCCAACATTGCAGCTCGAACTTAAACTTGTTATTCAAATAAATAATTAATTTTAAAAAAAGATTAATAAGACAAGGAGGCTGAGCGTGGTGGCTCATGCCTGTAATTTCAGCACTTTGGGAGATTGAGATGAGCAAGTCACAAGGTCAGGAGTTCTAGACCAGCCTGGCCAACGTGGCAAAACTCTATCTCTCTATTAAAAATACAAAAGTTAACTGGGCGTGGTGGCACACATTTATAATCCCAGCTACTCAGGAGGATGAGACAGGAGAATTGTTTGAACTCAGGAGTGAGCCGAGATAGGCCACTGCACTCCAACCTGGGCAACAAAGCAAGACTTCATCTCAAAAAATAATGATAATAATAATAATAAGACAAAGTACCTGGCCAGGGAATTTCACAGTCTGGTGGATGGGCCTAAGGACAGAATGGGGTGGGGTACAAAGAATGATGGGAAAGTTTATTTATTTATGCCAATATTCCCTTCAATTTCCTTTTATAACTATAATATAAACATTTAGTAGAAAGTGAAATCTGAGATAAAACTTGATTTCTATGTCTCTGTCCCAATCTCTGGAAATCAATAAATATTGGCCTGACCCAGTGGCTCACACGTGTAATCCCAGCATGTTGGGAGGTAGAGGCAGGTGGATTGCCCAGGAGTTGGAGACCCTCCTGGACAACATGGTGAACCTCATCTCTACCAAAAAAGAAATACAAAAATTATCTAGGCATGGTGGCGTGCACCTGTAGTCTCAGCTACTTGGCAGGCTGAGGTGGGAGGATCTCTTGAACTGGGAGACAGAGGTTGCAGTGAGCTGAGATTGTGCCACTGCACTTCAGCCCAGATGATAGAGTGAAACACTGTCTCATAAAACAAACAAACACAAAACAAAATTTACTTTTTAGAAATTTAAAAAATAATAAAAATAAAATAATTAAAAAATGAATAAAGATTTTCTGTCATTTGCTCTTTCCTTAGTAAAATCTCTTTTTCACACATATATACACAAACACACGTACGCTCTTGATTCTTCCAACTCGTAACCTTTTATTTGTCATCTCTAAAAACTGTTACTATTATGAGGGTATGTTAAAAAAATGAGGATTATTACATAAATGAATAAAAAAGGAACAGTAGGCAAACACAGAAAGTGTTAGCTCTTGATTCGGAAGACTATCCTTGCATGTACACAATAATAAACAGCAGCAGACTGACAGGTGGGAGCACAGCAACAGACCAGGAGCATCAGAAAAGCACAGTCTACAAGGACTGAGTGGACAGTGAAGAGACGTGGCAGATTTTCTGTGAGTGCTCCCATTTTAATCAGTGAAATAGTAAAGACGCAAAGTCAAAACGGAGAACAATTAAGAGAAAGGAAAGAAGGTGTTGAAAGCTTAAGGCAAAAGAAGTAATGATATAATCACCCAGGGCATTTTTTTTCCTGAAATACACACTAAGATAATTTTTTTTTAATTCTATCTTTACACTTTTGTTTTGTTTTGAGATAGGGTATCGCTCTGTCGTGCAGGCAGCAGTGCTGTGGCGTGATCTCGGCTCGCTGAAACCGCCACCTCCGGGATTCAAATGATTCTCCTGCTGAGTAGCTGGGATTACAGGTGCCCACCATCACATCCTCTAATTTTTTGTATTTTTAGTAAAGACAGGGTTTCACTGTGTTAACCAGGATGGTCTTCATCTCCTGACCTCATGATCCACCCTCCCTGGCCTTCCAAAGTGGTAGGCTTACAGGCATGAGCCACCACACCCAGCCTAAAATAAGTCAATATATTTATTCATTTAGCAAACATTTTCTGAACAGCTGTGTGTAAGGCACAGAAACTAGACAGACACCAAGAGTAATAAGACAAGGAGGCTGGGTGTGGTGGGGATCACAAGGAGGCTGGATCAAGTGATTCTGGTGTCTCAGCCTCCTGAGTAGCTGGGACTACAGGCATGTGCCACCACGTCCAGCTAATTTTTTATATTTTTTGTCGCGACAGAATTTTGCCATGTTGGCCAGGCTAGTCTCAAACTCCTGGCCCGCCCAAGTGATCTTCCTGCCTTGGCCTCCCAAAGGATCCCAAGTGATTGCCTGCCTCAGCCTCCCAAAGTGCTGGGATTACAGGCGTAAGCCACCATGCCTGGCCTACACATTTTTAAATTGGCATATAAAGTTTTTCATTATGACTTTTAAAAGTTGCTAAGGATGTAACATCTGCTACATTGTAAATATAGATATTTTAAGTAAGACTTTTAAAAGGATAGTCACTGAAATTTGACAAAATCTACTTTACAAAAATTCAAAATATGACTCATACAAATATAAAGTGAGCAGGTAACCAAAGATATATTTGAAGAAGGACCCATTAATAAGGGAAGTAGCAAGATGGTAAAGCAAGCTCAAAGGGAGATAGCAGAGACCATGTGTATTTTTCCTGAAAGGAAGTGTGATGAAATAAAACTGCTAAATTAGATATAAAACTGGTTAATGCCCTACAGGGCAATACAAATACAACCTTTGAGTTATTGTTTCTTTTTTTTTTTTTTTTGAGATGGAGTCTCATTGTTTTGCCAGGCTGGAGTGCAGTGACGCAATCTCAGCTCACTGCAACCTCCGCCTCCCAGGTTCAAGCAATTCTCCTGCCTCAGCCTCCTGAGTAGCTGGGACTACAGGTGCGTGCCACCACACCCAGCTAATTTTTGTATTTTTGGTAGAAATGGGGTTTCACCATGGTCTTGATCTCTGGACCTCGTGATCCGCCCACCTTGGACTCCCAAAGTGCTGGGATTACAGGTGTGAGCCACTGCCCCCAGCCTGAGTTATTGTTTCTATAGAACAGAAATGATTCACATATCTACTGGACAAAATTGTATTGGACAAAAATATATTGCTATTAGTCTTTTAAAATTCTGCATCTACCCTTAGAGAATTGGTAAATTTTTAAATTATAAAATATTTTTATCAACAGGAAAGAGTAAGTTTAAAAGGGTATTTATCCCCAGAAAATTAGATAATTCATGGGTAAGTCTGTTAGACAATGTTCCAATATAATATTAAAAAACCATGTGATCAGCCGGAAGTAGTGGCTCACGCCTGTAATCCCAGCATTTTGGGAGGCCAAGGTGGGCAGATCACTTGAGGTCAGAAGTTTGAGACCAGCCTGGTCAACATGGTGAAACCCCATCTCTACTAAAAAAACAAAGAAGAAGAAGAAAAAAAAAAAAAATAGCTGGTTTTGGTGGTGCATGCCTGTAATCCAACTACTTGGGAGGCTGAGGCAGGCGAATCCCTTGAACCCAGGAGGCAGAATTGCAGTGAGCCAAGGTCACACCACTACACTCTAGCCCGAGAGACAGAGCAAGACTCTGTTTAAAAAACAAAACAAAAAGTTTAAAAAAAGTGGTCATTCTTTTACCTGTTCACATTTTAGATATTTTATTTCTTAGCAAATCAAAATAGCATGATAATCTGATACCCAGAATCATTCATTTAAAAAATACAAGACTCTTCAACAGAATAATTTACGTTATTCCTTTTTCTACTTGAAATGGTATTTCTATTCACCTTCCCGAAATAATTTCCCTAGCAAAATCTCTTTTTCACACATATATACACAAACACAGATACATTCCACATTCTTCCAACTCATAACCTTTTATTAGTCATCTCTAACAAATGTTCATATTATGATTCTCAAATAATTTGGGGAAGGTGAATAGAAAAAATACCATTTCAATTTTAATTATATATATTTTTCCAGGCACAGTGGCTTACACCTGTAATCCCAGCACTTTGGGAGGCTGAGGTGGACAGACTATTTGAGCTCAGGAGTTCAAGACCAGCCTGGGCAATATAGCAAAACTCCATCTCTACAAAAAATACCAAAAAAAGTAGTCGGGCATCATAGCACATGCCCGTAGTCCCAGCTACTTGGGAGGCTGAGGTGGGAGGATTACCAGAGTATGGGAAGTTGAGGCTACAGTGGGCCACGATCATGTCACTGCACTCCAGCCTGGGCAACAGGAATGAGACCCTGTCTTTAAACAAATAATTTTATATATTTTTGTGTTTGACTGTTTTTTATTAATCATTCTATTATTCTTTGCAAAAATAACTGGTATTTAAGTCAGATTGTTTTCTGT